AGAGGGAGAGAGGAGAGGAGAGAAGAGGAGTGGGGGAGAGAGAAGAGAGGAGGAGTGGGGGAGAGAGGAGAGGAGAGAGGAGGAGTGGGGGAGAGAGGAGAGAGGAGCAGTGGGGGAGAGAGGAGAGGAGAGAGGAGGTGGGGGAGAGAGGAGAGAGAGAGGAGTGGGGGAGAGAGGAGAGAGAGGAGGAGTGGGGAAGTGAGGAGAGGAGTGGGGTGTGAGGAGAAGAGAGGGAGGAGTGGAGGGGAGTGAGAGAGAGAGAGGAGTGGGGGAATGAGGAGAAGAGAGGGATGAGTGGGGGGAGTGAGGTGGAGAGCAGAGGGAGGAGAGCAAGAGAAGGGAGGAGGAAGGGGGAATGAGGGAAGTGAGGGGGAGGGAGAGAGAGAGTGAGGGGGAGGGAGGAGAGAGGGAAAACGAGGGAAAGAGGAATGGAGGGAGGGAGGAATGGGGAAAACGAGGGAGTGAAGGGTGCAATGGAGGAGAGAGTGCGCTGAGGGGGAGGGAGGGAAGGGAGAGAGTGAAGAGAGAAGAGAGGGACGAGAGGAGAGAGAGAGGGAAGAGAGGAGAGAGAGGGGGAAGAGAGGAGAGAGAGAGGGAAGAGAGGAGAGAGAGGGGACGAGAGAGAGACAGAGGGGAGGCGAGAGGAGAGAGGGGGGAAGAGGAGGGAGAGAGGAGGGGAAGAGAGAGAGGGGGGAAGAGAGGAGGAAGAGAGGGGGGAAGAGAGGGAGAGAGGGGGAAGAGAGGAGAGAGAGGGGGAAGAGAGGAGAGATAGGGGGAAGAGAGGAGAGAGAGGGGGAAGAGAGGAGAGAAGGGAGAGGGGAAAGATAGAAGGAGGGAAGAGAGAAGTAGAGAGACGAAGAGAAGAGAGAGAGAGAGAAGAGAGAGAGAGAGAGGGAATGAGAGAGAAGGGAGCAAAGAGAGAGAGGGGGAGGGGGGGGGGAGATAGAGGGAGGAGAGGAGAGAGGGAGAGAGAGGAATAAAATGTGAGAAATGAAGAAGAAACATAAACAGAAAAAAATTAATTGGGGTTTGTATGAAGGCCACAGAGGTTTGGGCGTTCAATAATAATATTACCAATAATAATAATAATAATCCTGGCATTTGACACACGTCGCTGAGACGCCTCACAGCGCTTCACAGGACGCACTGTCAAGTGTAGTGACTGTGAGTTTGGTGGGCGAAACGCAGGGGGGGGGCCAGTTGCGCCCGGCAGTCGTGGGTTGAGGAGCCAAATTATTATCATCATTATATTTTTCGAAAGCGATTATTATTATTGCTTAGTGTGTGTGTGTGCGTGTGCGTGCGTGCGCGCGTGTGCGTGTGTGCGTGCGCGTGTCCCCCCTGGCTCACTCCCTACCCATTAACCACCTTCCTTCCCCCTCTGCCCTCTTCCTTTTCCTCCTTCAATCTCTCCCGAAGAGGTGGGCGAGGACGGGGGGGGAATGAACGTTAAGACGTCGCTGACTGTTGAGTCCAAAGATTAGGAGCTGCCCAGGTCAGGACCTACAGGGCTGAGCCTCTCAGGAACCTGTGGACAGGGTGTGGCCTCCCATTAAGTTGCTTCGAGAAGTCCCGAAACTCTTTTAAGAGGAAAATAAGATCCTTTTGGTGCGGATGTGGGGGGGTTGGGGGTGGGACGGGGGTTGAGATGGGATGGAGGGGTCAGAGGAACACAGTAGATATTTCGCCCACAAAATACTCAATTCACATTACAGTATATCTGTGAAGCGCTTTGAGAAGTCTCGAAGACGGATGAGGCCTGTATCAAATGCAAATATTATATTATTATTATTATAAGCAAACAGTAATGTTTCTCTGGCTAACTGACCAGCCCAGCAACACACTTCAATCCAGTCTATGAAATAACATGGGATGTAGAGATAGGGGGAGGAGAGGATGGAGAGGGGGTGGGGGGGTGGGGGGGGAAGGAGAGAGCTGCATATCAACACAAGACAACAATTCATCACTGTGCAACAACAATAATAATAATGCATCTCACAAAACACACAGTCACTACACTTCACAGTGTGCGTCCTGCGAAGCGCTTCGAGACGTCTGGAAGACGTGACGAGGCGCCGGGTCAAACGCCGCGATTATTATTATTATTATCATTATATTATTATTATTGCCGTCGCTATCGCCGTCTCCATACAACGTTGATTTGACCCCCTCCCACCGAAAAAACAAACAAACCCTAATTGGGTGAGGAAGGCGAAGGGGTTCAGTCGCTCCCTCGTTGTTTGTGGAAAAAAAACACCAACACACATATTATTGTCAAATTCCACTGCAGCTGTTACTAATTATAGATCTTTTAAAAACTATAATATATATTGTGTGCATTAAACGCGCACAACTCCCTCCTCTCCCACTCCTCCCTCACTCCTCCTCCTCTCCCCACTCCCTCCCTCACTCCTCCCCTCCCTCCCTCCCCACTCCCCTCCCTCACTCCTCCCTCCTCTCCCCACTCCCTCCCTCACTCCTCCCTCCTCTCCCCACTCCCTCCCTCACTCCTCCCTTCCTCCCTCCTCTCCCATTCCCTCACTCCTCCTCCCTCCTCTCCCACTCGCTCCCTCACTCCTCCTCCCTCCTCTCCCACTCCCTCCCTCACTCCTCCCCCCTTTCCCCCTCCTCTCCCCACTCCCTCCCTCATTCCTCCTCCTCCCTCCTCTCCCAACTCCCTCCCTCACTCCTCCTCCTCCCTTCCCCCCTCCTCTCCCCACTCCCTCCCTCACTCCTCCTCCTCCCTTCTCTCCCACTCCCTCCCTCACTCCTCCTCCCTCCTCTCCCTACTCCCTCCCTCCTCTCCCTACTCCCTCCCTCACTCCTCCCTTCCTCCGTCCTCTCCCACTCCCTCCCTCACTCCTCTCCCGCCCTGTCTCACTCCCCACCCTCCCTCACCCCTCCTCCCGCAACCCCCCACCCCCTTACTCCTCATTCCCCCCCACCCCCCCCTTACTTCTCATTCCCCCCACCCCCCTTATTGCTCATTCCCCCCACCCCCCTTACCGCTCATTCCCCCCCGACCCCCTCTTACTCCTCATTGCCCCCCACCCCTCCTTACTCCTCATTCCCCCCCACCCCTCCTTACTCCTCATTGCCCCCCACCCCTCCTTACTCCTCATTCCCCCCCCACCCCTCCTTACTCCTCATTCCCCCCCACCCCTCCTTACTCCTCATTCCCCCCCCACCCCTCCTTACTCCTCATTCCCCCCCCACCCCTCCTTACTCCTCATTCCCCCCCCACCCCTCCTTACTACTCATTCCCCCCCTTACTCCTCATTCTCCCCTAACTCCTCATCCCCCCCCACCCCCCCTTACTCCTCATTCTCCCCCTAACTCCTCATCCCCCCCACCCCTCCTTACTCCTCATTCCCCCCCACCCCTCCTTACTCCTCATTCCCCCCCCCACTCCCCCTTACTCCTCATTCCCCCCCCCAGACCGCGCCTTAAAAAACCAAAACATTTTCAAATTATTTTGTGTTTTAATCTGTAAAAGTATATGTAGACCGATATAGATACACTGAGGAGGATACAAAGATTATTATTATGATTTGATATTATTTTTATTTTAACACGTGGAGAGAATGAGGTGGGGTTCCCCCCCCCACACTCTCCCCCCCTCTCCCCCCCCCCCACACTACTCCCCCCCTCCCCCCACACTACTCCCCCCTCCCCCCACACTCTCCCCCCCCCCCCACACACAAATAAAAATATATATAAATATATATAAGATATGTATACGGTGGGGGGGGCGGTGGGGGGGGGGGCAGACACACGGTGGAGAGAAGTATTTCCGGGTCGTAACGAAATACTCAATTGTCCCCGGAAGAGAAATAAAAGGTTTTAATTCCCCTATTTCACCCCCTCAACGCCCCCCCACTCCCCCCTCTGCCCTCCTCCCCCTCACTCCCCTCTGCCCTCCTCCTCCCCTCTGCCCTCCTCCCCCTCACTCCCCTCTGCCCTCCTCCTCCCCTCTGCCCTCCTCCCCCTCACTCCCCTCTGCCCTCCTCCTCTCCTCTGCCCGCTTGGGGGAGGGGGAGAGGGACAGAGAGAGGGGGAGGGGGGGGGGAGGGCGGGGCCTCTTTGGCGGCTCTTTGACCGTTGACCCCGTGGCTGTCCTCCCGCCGTGCAGTGCGGCAGCCGCTCACACTCACAGAGGGCGTCAGCGGACAAGGTGAGACACACACCCTCACACACACAGACCCTCACACACAGCCTCACACAGACCCTCACACAGAGACACAGACCCTCACACACACCCTCACACACAGTGAGACACAGACCCTCACACACACCCACACACACAGTGAGACACAGACCCTCACACACACCCTCACACAGAGACACACACACAGCCTCACACACAGCCTCACACACACCCTCACACACACCCTCACACAGACACACAGACCCTCACACAGACCCTCACACACAGCCTCACACAGACACACAGACCCTCACACACACCCTCACACACACCCTCACACAGACCCTCACACAGACCCTCACACAGACCCTCACACACAGCCTCACACACAGCCTCACACAGAGACACACACCTTCACACAGACACACACCCTCACACACACCCTCACATAGCCTCACACAGAGACACTCACACCCTCACACAGCCTCACACACAGCCTCACACACAGCCTCACACAGACACACAGACCCTCACACACACACACTCTCACACACACACAGAGACCCTCACACACATACACACACAGAGACACACACCTTCACACACTCTCACACACACACACACACACACACACAGACCCTCACACACACACACACACAGGCTCCCCCCCCACACACACACAGACAGATACACAGATAGAGAGATACACACACACAGACACACAAAGATAGAGAGACACAAATACACACACAGACAGACACACAGATAGAAAGACACAGACACACACACACAAAGAGACACAGACACACACAGAGATACAAACAGACACACAGATAGAAAGACACAGACACACACACAGACACAAACACAGAGACACAGACTGACACACAGGGAGACCACAGACGGACAGAGAGACGGGGGGGGGCAGGCATACGGGCAGACATGGTGGATCGGCACACGGTGGATGGGGACACAGATGGGCGGACGGGCATGGACAGAGACAGACAGACAGACAGACAGACAGAGGGAAAGAGACAGGCAGAGACAGGGAGACACGGAGACACAGACACAGAGATAGACAGAGAGACAGACAGAGAGAGTCACAGACAGACAAGACAGAGAGATAGAGACACAGAGAGACAGACACAAGAGAGACACAGAGACAGAGAGACACCAGACAGAGACAGTGCAAAAGACAGACAGCGAGACAGAGACAGTGGAGGAGAGGGCACCGGGGTACAGGAGGAGAGGGCCCTCAGGTCCATTCTACAAGCTGGAGAGTCGTGAGGGTGGGGATATGAGAAGATGTTATTTGCCTCTGTAACGTTTAATACTGTCTGCTCCGTGGGCTCCAGACAGCTCTACATCCCCTGCCTAGCCCGCCCAACCAACAGCGGGCGGGCCTTCAGCCTCTCTGCCCCCACCCTTTGGAACGCCATCCCACAGTCCGTCCACCTCACCTCCCCCCTCCTTTGCCTCCTTCGAAACCCGTCAAAAGGCCCTCCTCTCGACCGTGGCTTTGGTCTCGTCCTACCCCTACCCTCCACCCCTCCTGATCCCAAACACCAGCTCAGGTGTGGATCCCTGACTGTCCAGCGCCTTGGGACGTCCTTTCTTTCTCTCTGTGTCAGGCGCTAACACCATCAGCATCCAAGGCTGCACTCTCCACCTCTCAAAGTCAGTCAGGAACCTCAGTGTTCTGTTCGACCCTGAGCTGTCCTTTCTTCCTCACATCCGCGCCACAACTGGCACCGCCTTCCATCACCTCCGGAACATCGCCAGACTACGGCACTACCTCACCCCTCACGCGGCTGAAACTCTGGTCCAAACCTTTATCACCTCAAGGCTGGACTATGGGAACTCTCCCCTCGCGGCCTTCCCGGTACCTCCCTCCACACTGCAGGTCATTCAGAACTCTGCAGCTCGTGTACTGTCCCGCACCAGGCTTCGCGACCACATCACTCCCACCCTCACTCGCACCCTCACTCGCCTCCACTGGCTCCCCATCCCCCAGAGGATTGATTTCAAGATCCTCATCCTCACCCACAAGGCCATTCACGGCCTCGCTCCCTCCTACCTCTCCGACCTACTATCCCCCTACTTACCTGCCCGTACCCTCCGTTCCTCTGGCTCCGGTCTGCTCCATATCCCCCGCCCCAACCGCCCTACCATCGGTGGCCGGGCCTTCAGCCTCTCAGCCCCCAGGCTCTGGAACTCTATCCCCCAGTGCCTTCGCCGCCTCCTCCCTTTCCTCCTTCAAGGCCGGTCTCAATACCTTTCTCTTTGACCGTGCCTTCAGCTCCCCTCTCGACTCTCTACCCCTTCCTCGCTCCCTCCCTTCCCTCCCCTCACCCTGACCATTTCCCCCCTGCTCGGGTCCCGACCCAACTGTCCAGCGCCTTGGGACGTCCTCCCGACGTGAAAGGTGCTCTATAAATGAAATCTTGTTGTTGTTGTCTTTCCGATTTGAAAGGCGCTGTACAAATACAGAAAATTGTTCAATAGATTGCCTCTTTTTTCAGCAGGGAAAACCTGAGACGTTAGGTTAGTCTGCGGCACCGCCCCTCACTGTCCTGCCAAGATGCTGCCTCAACGTTTATTGCGTCTCTCCACCGCACTGAGATTTGCCATCTCTACTCATCTTCAGAGAAACATTGGGTCCACGGCTGTCCTGTTCAATACGACCGTCGACCCCATCAAGAAACTCTACGTGGATAAAATCCGAGAATTCGACAGCAAGAGCAAGTAAGTGACTGGGAAGAGACACTTTGGAGTCCCGTATCGTGAAGGTTAGCGCGCTCGCTTTGCTTTGCGAGAGGTCCCAGGTTCAAATCCTGGGAGGGGCGAAACCTTGGGCAAGTTTTTTTTTTACCTCGGTTTACCTATCAGAAAGTAGGTACCCGGTTGTACATTGATTGGCCGATTGCTTTCGCCTCCCCCCAAAAATATTTTTGTGGCCGTTTGCAATTGGATCCCGTGTTTCGCCCACAAAATTCGCAGTGAATCCACTTTGCAATACATTCTATGAAGCGCTTTGAGACGTCTTAATGTCGCGATAAGGCACTATATCAAATGCAAAGATTATTTTTATCAATAGGTGGGGGTGGGAGGGGGAATAACATGGCTCAGCTCCTGGGGAATGCGTAAGCTATAAGTTAAAGCAGACCAGCACCTCAGATCAGTGCAAAATGGTGAGTAGTGGAGCTCCAGCTTGGAGATGTTGCTGGCAAGGCATTCAGTACCGATATTTTTTTTTAGGTGTCTAGGCGAAAACTCATCACCGTATTTAAGAGTCCACAAACCAAGCTGAGAATTCCATACATCCCATCTGCACATGGAAATTCCAGAGATCGATACCTGGAGAGACGCATCCTACTTAACTAATTCCAGAAAGTATTAAGCGCAGGTTGGCGAGAGCCAAGGCTTGGGGGACCCCAGATTGGCTATTGGGGTAACTGCTAGAGTCTAACCGGGTAAAACCACATAGCTTACCATTGATATTTCTGCCAAGCAAGCTTTCCCACTGCTTGTCCAGCAAGGACCACCCTACCCATTAGGGCTTTGGCTTGCAGAGTTAACAGGAGTTGAGTAGAATAACTCCCTTGCCCCCAGTAACTGGTCTGCCCTTCCAGGTTCTGCCAGCTGTGCTGTCATCAGCAGTGCCCTGGAGTACTGCAGACACTCCTGGTTCAGGAACCGGATTGGAGAACAGCACAGAGGGCTGGCTCGATTCTGACATTCCATTGCCAGGAATGTCACCTTGGAGCCAGTTCATCCCCGAGGAGACCCCACTTAACCGATGTTGGACAGTGAGATTGACCAAACGCTCGCTCCCATTGTGTCTTTGAACCCAGGAAAGCCGGTGCTCCTGCAGATGCAGGTCCAGAGTACCAGAAGATGATGAACGACGAGATTGCCAAACTGCAGCGACTGTACGGAGGAGGTGACCTGCTCGCATTCCCAGAATTTACCTTCCAGGGTAAGGTGGCTTCAGGTCAATCTGTTGGGCCATCTAGAGGTGTGCTAAGCTATTGGGGGTGCTGATTGCTGGGGTCGAACTTATACCATGTATGTTTACCGAATCCTGGCAATTACAGGAGGCCATTTGACTATGCTGGTTACAGCTCCTCCACTGGAGCTTTTGACTCCCATCATGGAGTCCTGTAGCTCAGTGGTTAGAGCGCTTGCCTCGCAAGTGAGAGACCTGTGTTTGATTCCCGGGCAGGGCGAAACGTTGGGCAAGTTTCCTTACTCCACCTGCCTCTGTTTGCCTAGCAGTACATAGGAACCCGGTTTTTAAGTCGATTGGTAGATCTCTTTTCCGGGGGGTAATGATTCCTTCAATACAATAAAGAAATAAATAATAATTTGTCCACGGCTGTTTGAGGGACACTGCTGTGCACAATTGGCTGCCGCATTTCGCCCTCAAGACATACAGGCAATTCGCTCTATAGTATATTCTGTGAAGCGCTTTGAGAAGTCTCGAAGATGTGATAAGGCGCTATATCAAATGCAAGGATCATTATTATTATTTTGCATGACAGATTTAACCGCAAAGTAATAATGCCTCAAAAGAGTTTTGAAGCTGATTCAAAGACTCACGTGAGGTGTGCGAATCATGCCTTAGCAAATTGTTCAAGCAAAACGTTTTGCCCCCCCATCCATTCTACGCCACAGCAGACTTGTAAGTGTATTTAGTGTTGACTCTGGCACAACAATCCCCAGATGAATTGGCTGTCTGCGAGATTCTGTTGGGTGCAAAATGGCTGTTGCATTTACCTACAAATAGCCACTAATCTTGACAGTAATGAAATGTCAAAAGAGTTGTTTGTGATTGCACAGAATACTTTGTGTTACTTTGTAATTCCAAGCAAATTGCTAAGGATTGTTATTTTATCGAACTGAAAAGAGGCCATTGGGATTACAACTCAGATCTGGCTAGTTCACAATAACCGAGCTCCCCAGAATAGTAGTATAACAAACACCATATCATTTGTATTTGAAAAACACTGTGAACATTTCATTGTACGAGTTTCCGATCAATGTTGTGTATTAATGTTTCCTTTTCTCCCCCGCTCTCCCAACTTCCTTTAGAACCCAAATTGGAAGAAACCGGGAAGTGATTGGTCACCTGCCTGTAATGCAAAGGAATTTTGTTTATTGTGGTGTTACCCAGACTCTTGAATTATAACGTAATAAATTCTATTCAAATTAAAAAAGTTTTTATTTCACCCCATTTTGACTCTACGGTTCACTCCAAGCATTTGCTATGTTCTTGATCTATAGCAAATGGAAGAGTTTCTCCTGGGACAAATTATGGATCAAGTGGTCATTCACCTCATGTCTGTTTGTGGGATCTTGCTGTGCAAATTAGCTGCTGCGTTTGCATACAGATGTACAGTCAGTGCATTTGAACGCAATTACTTGTAAAGTGTTTTGATGCTATATCAAATAGAAATAGACTTGGTCATTCAGCCCCTCAAGCCTCTTCCGCCATTTTATAAGATCATGGCTGATTTGGATCACAACTGCTCTTCCCCGGTATCTTTTAATTCCCTGTACCTAACAAACATCTATCCACCTCAGTCTTGCAGATGTGAATGTCCAGCATCCAGATCCTTTTTGGGGAAAGAGTTCCAGATTTCCACTATCTCCTGGGTGAAAAAACTGCTTCCTGATTTCACTCCTGAATAGCCTAGCTCCAATTTTAAGATTATGCCCCCTTGTTCTGGATTCTCCCACCAGAGGAAATAGTTTCTTTATATCTATATCTCCTCTGTAAATGCAACAAGTACTTTGATTGAAATTTAAATGCAAAAAAAACCAGTAAAACAATCATACAAACTATTTTGATTTAATCAGTGTTATAAAAAGGATTACATTTGCAAATCAGTCACTCAACAAAGTTATTAGAGGTCATCTTAATACTATTCTTTTTACAAAAGAGCCCATCATTAGTGGTCACATAGCGCTGTGTAAATTCTGCAAATATTTTCCATGCATAGTTAGTTAGAAGGCATAAAATACACACAAATCTGTGCAAAAGTGGTCAGATTCACGGAATTAATCCAGTTACTTGTACAAAGAAAGGAATTCTACAAAATTCTCTCTGTGGTGTGGTAAGGCATAGTTCCTCAGATGGAGTGTCTGGCTTCAAAGATTTGATGTGAGTTTAATATGAGATCCTAATTCATTCAGCCAGTGCAGAGAATCTCGTGACTGTACAATTTTATGTTAACAAGTCTAAATTGACAATGTTTATCAGAGCAAGCCAGCTTCCCTTTGTGGACATAATGTTCCTCCTTTGCCTCAGATAACAAAAGACTTGGTGTGCTTGAAGTCCTGAGTTTGTAAAGGAAAAGGAAACTGGTCACACAATTGATAAGGTTTACATGTACACTCAGCACAAACAATAGTATAGAAACCTGAACGGGAAGAGAACAACCATTCAGCCCACTGAATCTGTCATGACAGTTTAGATTCCATCCCACACTCCTTTCGCCTCGCCCCCTCTCCTTGCCTCCTTCAAGGCACGTCTCAAGACCCTCTTCGGCCATCCTCCCTACCCCTAGCCTCCCTGCCATCCACCCCCCCTGATCCCAACCGCCAGATCAGGTGCGGATCCGTGACTGTACAGCGCCTTGGGACGTCCTGATGTGAAAGACGCTGTCACTTACTTTGTTACTCGATGACCCGGACTTGTCGTCAGAGGTTCTTTTCCTGCATAACAGAAGTCTCATGAGAACCATTCTTTGGGGTTGGGTAAAGATGAGAACATTCAACACAGCTTCACAAGTACATTGACAGAAATTTATGGGGTGAAATTTGTGATGTTCTATAATGCGTTGGAAACAATTATTGGTGTCAGCCTGGCTCAATTGATAGCAACTCCCGCCTCCTTCAACAACAACTTGCATTTATATAGCTGTTTGTCACATTCTGCTGTGCACGAATTGGCTGCTCCATTGACTTACAAAAATGCAGTCGCAATACTTTTTTTTTTAATGAATTCTTGTGAAGTGTTTTTGCGACGTCCCCCTGACATGAGAAGCATCATATCAAAGGCAAGGATTATTATTTCAGATTATTAATATCTGGTTATGAAACATTTCAAATTTCACCCCATTCGGTGAAAAAATTTATGAGGAATGTGAGAAAGTTGAAATAGAGAAACGTGTAGAGAGAAGGACAGACAGCGAGGAACACGGGCAGACATAGATCCAATATATCTTCTATACTAATAAAGACATAATGTCTGTATCTGTGTGTCCACTAAGAACTCAATAACCAATTGACGTAGAGATGTGATCTATGCCTCATCGGAAAGATTTTGCATTGGGGAGTGTCATATTTTTATGGGGGGACGGAATTTCTTATTGTTGAGCTATAAGCGAAACAAGCTCATTGCACATATATAGCAGTTTTGCTTAAGGTTAAATGGTTTGTAAGTGGCACCACTGATATCTGCATTCCATATTGGATTCTTTGGTTGAAAGCGTAGCTGCAACGGCGAATATATATCTATAATAATAATTTGGTCACTCAATCCACGACTGTGGGACACTGCCGTGCGCAATTGGCTGCCTCCTTTCACCCACAAAATATATAATCAATTCACTAAGTATGAGGCACTCATCAAGGATTATTATTATTAGATATATAAGTGTGAGAGACAAATGCACAAGGACACAAGATATCTCATTAAGATATCCCATTGATTCGTGGGAATTCCACTCCGGAAGTAGATAGCGTTGGAGTGGAGAATCCGGGGGTTCAGATTGACATATTTCCGGTTATTGCAAGTCGCCCTCATTTAATAATAAATTGGTCGCCTCAATCCACGACTGTTTGTGGGACACTGCTGTGCAATTGGCTGCCGCGTTTTGCCCACAAAATAGGCAGTCAATTCACTTTACAGAGTACTCTGCAGTGCCTTGAGTCGTCTCGAAAACGTGATCAGGCGCTATATCAAATGCAAGGATTATTATTATTATTTGCGTGCTTTGGATTCCTTGTTCAGGAAATTTGTTTTAGATTAAGAATCACCGCCAATTAATCCATATGTGCACAGAGAGGAACAGAGAGGCTAGTCGAGATAGAGAGAATGAGGAAAAGATAAAAAGCACGTATTGGTGTCATAGAGCATTGCAGAGACCAACATAAGTGAAAGACTCAGAGAGAGAGTGAGATATATTTTCAGCAGTTACTCACTTCGACGCGCTTTTTTCTGTAAAGGAGATTTTTGTTTAAAAAAAAAGGAGAAATTACTACCCGGCACCAAAAAGCAGCTTTGTCTTCAGATGGATTCCCTAAACTGGAAAGTCAGGTTAATAGTTGAGGTCAACTTAGAAAGGTCACCGTAGCATAGACAGAATGGGTTGAAAGGCCATCTTCTTGGCTGAAAACTTCAGTGTTACTGTGATTTTTTTTTTTAAAAAAAATGCATGAAATGGTGGAGCTGGGTGACGCTTGAAGGTTTCCCGTTAGTGATTAGCGCGCTCGTCTCGCAAGCGAAAGGATCCGGGATCGATTCCCAGGCGGGTCAGGGTGAAACCTTAGGCAACTTTTCTTACTCCACACGCGCGCCTCTGTTTACCTAGCAGTAAGTAGGAACCCGCTTGGTAGTCAATTGGCGGATTGCTTTGCGGGGGTAATAATTTCTCGTCCCCACCCCCACCAAAAAAATCACTCAATCCACGACTGTTTGTGGGACACTGCTGTGCGCAATTGGATGTTGCGTTTCGCCCAGAAGGTGCAGAGTCAATCCACTTTACAGTATATTCTGTGAAGCGCTTTGAGACGTCTCACTGTATCGAATGCAAGGATTATTATTATATCCTTTGGTTCTTAAGTAATAATAATAATAATCCTTGCATTTGATGTAGCGCCTTTTCACGTCGTCGAGACGTCTCAAAGCGCTTCGCATAATATACTGTAAGGTGAATTGACTATATTTTTGTGGGCGAAACGTGCAGTCCTTCAAATATCCCAATTTGACTCCCGCTCTCCTGCATTTCCGGGGCAGCGCGCTTAACATTCACATTCACGTTCCGCTCCTCTGCTAATGCTCTGTTTTCTGGCCCCTTGCCTGACCCCCCCTCCCACACCACCCGCACTCTCCCTCCCCCTCCCCACCACTTCCCTCGAGGTCAGAAGAGATCACTTACTTCCTAAGTAGCCTTTCCGGTGAGCATAGCAGACACCCAGCCCGCACAGTGACAGCACCAAAGCCACTATCACTACGGAAACCACAATTGCTCCCACATTCAGGTCATCTGTGAAGAGGAACGGAAAGAGACATCCATTTTAGGGGAACCTTATTGATTCAAAACATTGCAAAGAGCTTCCTAGTAACCCCCGACAAGTTCAACAACAATTTGTACTTATATAGAGCCCTCCACGCACAGTAGCGTCTCAGAGTGCTTAAAAGAACTAACAATAATCCTGATACTAATCCATGCATTTGATATAGCCCCTTATCACGTCTTCGAGACGTCTCAAAGCGCTTCACAGGATACGCTGTAAAGTGAATCGACGGCGTATTTTGTGGGCGAAACGTACCGAGAACGGGGGGGGGGGGGGGTGGGGAGGAAGGGAAGAAAGAGAATTTTCTTTTCTTTGTACAGATGCTTGGACTGTGGCATTCTCCACCGTAAACAGATAAGAGAAGATCAGGAATGTAAAAGGAGGTGCTAGCGTGCTCCAGTTATATAGAGAGCTGATCAGACCTCAGCATTGTGTTCAATTTTGGGCACTTAATTATTGTATAAGCTAATGCTCCAATGCAGCGCTGGGGGCGGTGTTGCATTGTCAGAGGTGCCATCCTTCGAATGAGATGTTAAACTGAGGTCCTATCTACCTGTACAGGTGGACGTTAAAGATCCCGTGGCGTTATTGGAAAAGAGAAGGGAGTTTCTCTCTCTCTCTCCTGGCCAACACTCCCCAAGATAAAATTGGTCACTCACACCATGGCTGTTTGTAGGACATTGCCGTATGCAATTGGCTGCCGGATTTCACCCACAAAACACACAGTCACTCCACTTTACAGTGTATCCTGTGACGCACTTTGAGACGTCGCAAAGACGTGATAAGGCGCTATATCAAATGCAAGGATTATTATTATCAAAAATAAATATTTGGTCACTCAATAATCCACGACTGTGGGGCACTGGTGTGCGCAATTGGCTGCCGAGTTTCGCCCACAAAATATAGTCAATTCGTTTTACAGTATAATCTGTCGAGCACTTTGAGACATCTCGAAGACGTGATAAGATGCTGTATCATATGTAAGGATTATACTTATCAAGAGACAGACAGGCAGACAGGCAGGTCCTCGATTTAATGCGTTGTCTGAAGCAATGGCAACTCCCGACAATGCAGAGTTTCTGCCCCACCTCCAACTCTTTGTGTCGTCCTAAAGTGTGCGCTCAATGCCCTGAGGTGAGGCTTTTAGGAACCTAAGACCATAAGAATTTGCTGGGGGAACTAAGACCAAGTTCCACCCAGTTGGCCTTCCACCATCCTGGCAGTCGCTTGACATTTTGTGTCCCAAACTATACACTGTATCCCCATATTATTTTCTCACAGAAATCTATCTAGTTTGCTCTTGAAACAAACAACACTTTCTGCTTCCACTGTTCCACTGTATATTTTGTGGGCGAAACCCGGCAGACAATTGCGCACAGTACTGTCCCACAAACAGTCGTGGATTGAGTGACCACATTGTTATTGTTATTTTGGGGGGATTATTATAAACAGTCACGCTTACTTATCTGCATGAATTTAGCAGAGCAATTCTTAGCCTGACCAATGCCATTGGAAGCCAGACAATGATACTTTCCGCTGTTTCCCTTTTTGACTGTTGTAAACACCTGTCAAAACAAATATATTGGAGAATGATCAGCAAATGTTTTGCTTGATACAGCACGAAGTACATCAACACATCTCAGGACACTTCCCAGGGCTTGTTGCCAAGTGTGTGACAACCAATTTGGCCACATCAAGGTCCCATTAACAGCCATCGAGTTAGAGTGTGAGGATTGTTAGCCAAGACCTTGGAGGTGATTGGGAACTCCAATAGCAAGCAAGAGACCTAGGTTCAATTTCCATCAGTTTCCTTACTCCACCCTCCACTCTCTTAAATAGGATCCCGGTTGTTAGTCGATTGGCGGAACGCTTTTCCGGGGGTAATAATTCCTTCAAAAAGATATAATGGTAATACATTGGTCACTCGATCCACGACTGTTTGTGGGACACTGCTGTGGTACAATTGGCCTCCGTGTTTCGACCACAAAATATACAGGCAATTCATTTCACAGTATTTTCTGTGAAGCGCTTTGAGACGTCTCGAAGACGCGATAAAGCGCTGTATCAAATGTAAGGATTATAATTTATTATTGTTGTAATTTATTTCTGAAGAGGGTTCCGGTAGGTGAGGGTAAAGCGACTGAAAGCTCGCTCGTTCGCCAGTGATGGGAATGGAGCGGAATGGGTAAGGGTAGGCGCACGAAGCAGGCTGGAATTGGAGCGGAGGGAGTGACCAGGGCAGTAGGAGATCACAGAGGTCGGGTAGAGTGGGGGGGCAAGTCCACAGAGGCGAGGACAAGGATTTGAAAGTTACCAGTGAACCGGACGTCCTGTTGACTTTGTAGGATGTATTTGTTGAGGCCTTGACTCGAGCGGGGTTGTCCGTGAGTGCGAGATTGTCTTTGTACCAGGTGTACTTGGACGGAGGCCAGCCTTCTGATTCAAAGCAGCTCAGCTTGACCACAGCTCCCGTCGTCCCTGAACTCGGAACCTTACACGTGGGAACAGCTGGGGGCACTGTCAACAGCAAGCAACAGCACAGCGATTAACAAGTAATCAAGAAACAACAACAACAACAACAAGATTTCATTTATAGAGCTCCTTTCACGTCGGGAGGATGTCCCAAGGCGCTGGACAGTTGGGTCGAGACCCGAGCAGGGGGGAAACGGTCAGGGTGAGGGGAGGGAAGGGAGGGAGCGAGGAGGTGGTTAGAGAGTCGAGAGGGGAGCTGAAGGCACGGTCGAAGAGAAAGGTCTTGAGACCGGCCTTGAAGGAGGAAAGGGAGGAGGCAAGGTGAAGGCACTGGGGGATGGAGTTCCAGAGCCTCGGGGCTGAGAGGCTGAAGGCCCGACCACCGATGGTAGGGCGGTTGGGGCGGGGGATGTGGAGCAGACCGGAGCCAGAGGAACGGGCAGGCAAGTAGGGGGATAGTAGGTCGGAGAGGGAGGAGGGAGCGAGGCCGTGAATGGCCTTGTAGGTGAGGATGAGGATCTTGAATTTGATCCTCTGGGGGATGGGGAGCCAGTGGGGGCGAGCGAGGGTGGGAGTGATGTGGTTGTGAAACCTGGTGCGGGACAGTACATGAGCTGCAGAGTTCTGAATGACCTGCAGTGTGGAGGGAGGTGCCGGGAAGGCCGGTGAGGAGAGAGTTCCCATAGTCCAGCCTTGAGGTGATAAAGGCGTGGACCAGAGTTTCAGCAGCGTGAGGGGTGAGGTAGGGGCGTGGAAGAGGTGGCTGTGAGCACGAACAAAAAGGAAGGTCTTTAGACGGGATTTGAAGGTGGGGGGTGAGGTGGAGGGATTGAGGGAGGGAGTTCCAGAGTTTCGGGGCATAGTGGCTGAAGGCACGGCCGCCGATGGGGACAAGCCAAGGGGACAAGGGAGAATTTGGAGCCCGGAGACAGTCCAGCGGTGGCAGTGGGTGGTGGAATGGGGAGGTTAAGTAGGTCGGAGAGGTAAGGAGGTGGTCCAGATGAAGAAGATTAATCCAGATGAAGAAGATCCTTTGGCCCATCTGATCTTACTCATTCACCCACAACACCCACCCTATTGTCCTCCCATCGCAGTCTCGAGCCGTATTTTTTTAACTGAGTCCCTAGTGCCCTCTGTTCCATCACCATCGGCGGCCGCACTTTCAGCCACTACGCCCCCCAAAGCTCTGGAACACTCTTCCTCTATCCCTCTGCCTGTCAAGTGCCCTGAGATGCTTTCTGTGTGTTAGGGACGCTATATAAATGCAAGTTGTTGTTGTTGTTGTTATCCTAGCCTCAACTACCCTGCTTGGCAAGCCGCTAATTAACTTCCCAGTAAAAAAACACTTCCTGGTGCCTGAACTGAAATTGCCCTTTTGCAACTGGCATATACCCCGACTCATCTCGCACTCACCCCCGACTGAATTGATGAATTTTTCCAACCTTTTTCACAAACCGAAATGTTAAGACAACAATAATATTCCTTGCATTTGATGTAGCGCCTTATCACATCTTCGAGACGTCTCAAAGCGCTTCACACAATATACTGTAAAGTGAATTGACTGTATATTTTGTGAGAGAGACACAGCAGCCAATTGGCCAAAGCAGCGTCTCGCAACAGTCGTGGATTGAGTGACCAAATTATTATACATTTTTTTTGGGGGGAAGGATTATTGCCCTTAATAAAACAATGGTTTCAAGGCTAAGCTCCCTAATGATCATGGGATCAAGAGACAGTTTCTAATGAATGGAATCAGCGACTCAAATGTAGAGGTTCACTATCACGTTTAGGTTCTTAAGGGACTGTCTCTACTGAATGGGATTAATGTCATATGAGGTATTAAGGGGTTTACGTTCTTTGTTAAACACAATCACTGTTGTGTGAGAGGTTAAGCCTGCAACACAGAAGCTGCTGCAAATGTCCCTCACAACTCCCTCAGCTTGGCTCACCATCTGGGTCAGAAGGTTATGGGTTCAAGCCCCGCTTTGGGAGGGGTGGAGGAGAAAGGAAAGTTCTGCACTGTTGCACATATCATGCTTCTGATGAAAAGTTACAATAAACAATAATAACCCTTGCATTTGATATAGGGTTTTATCATAGAATCATAGAATCATCGGTAAATTAAACAACACAGAAGGAGGCCATTTGGCCCATCGTGTCTGGGCCAGCTCTTTGAAAAGAGCTGTCCAATTCAATCCCACTCCCCCACCATCAGGATCACGGGTTATCACATTGTCAAGAAGTCTCAAACCCCTTCACAGGATATTTTATAAAGTGTAGTGACTGTATATTTTGCAGGTGAAACGCAGCAGCCAATTGCGCACAGCAGTGACCAAATTATTAGTATTTTGTTTGGAGGGATGATTACCACCGGAAAAGCAAACCGCCAATCGATTAACAGGCGGGTTGCTACTTACTGCTAGGTAAACAGAGGCGTGTGGAGTGAGGAAACTTGTCTATGGTTTCTCTCCGTCCGGGAATCAACCCTGCGACCTTGTGAGGCGTGTACTCTAAGCACGGAGCTACAGGACTCCACAGATTACCTTTGTCCAAGTAGATGTTAAAGAATCCATTTGTCCTGGCCAACAATTCTCCAGCTAAGTTGGGCATCCATTCACCTAGAATGGAAAAGTGCCTTGAATCCATTTGTGGTCAAGTGCCATGTGCAAACTGACTGCTGCACTTGCCCACGACATATAGAGTCACTGACCTTGACGATGACTGTCCATGAAGCACTTTGAAAAATCAGAAGCTAATTGGTGAAAAAACAGAATCGCTGGGTACAAATGGCTGCCGGTTTCGCCCGCAAAACATACGGTCAATTCGCTTTACAGTGTACCCTGTGAAGCGCTTTGAGTCATCTCGAAGACGTGATAAGGCATTGTACCAAATGCAAGGATTATTATTATTATTGTTGTTGTTATTATTATTATTATTATCTGGGTAAATGGACAGCAGTGGTCTTTTCTGTGAATTGACCCTGCAAATGCAGATCCAGAGTACCGCCAACAGGGGTCACTGTAGTGTCACACATCGTGGGTGTAATGTACCGGGAGGTGTCGTGTGCCTACAGTCATGGTCAGCGGGATTATAATCCCAGGATCATACAGTGGGATCGGATGAAGAAGGGCTCTTCAGCCACCTTGATCCATCCTTCCCACCCTTTACCAGCCAATGACAAACTTTCGATTCACAGAAAAGACCATTTACCCAGATAATAATTCAACTCCCCGTTCCGCGTGAGAGGTGCTATGTTGTTGTTGTTAATTGGAATACACAGCACAATAATAATAATAATAATCCTTGGATTTGATACAGCGCCTTATCACTTCTTTGAGACGTCTCGAAGCCCTTCACAGGACGTACTGTAAAGTGTAGTGAACGTATTTTGTGGGCGAAATGCGGCGCGTAGCAGTGTCCCACCAACAGTGGTGGATTGAGAAACGAAATGAAACCGCCTTACAAATTATTATTGATAATCATGAATGTGAAAAGTGTGCCTCCTCTTCAGCAAGATCTGTGGTGATAAGCCGCTATATCAAATGCAAGGATTATTATTAGCCTTTCATTACAGCATCACAATTTTTTTTTGATCAGCCGGGTATCTGACACATGCGGAAGCCCATCACCATTGCTTATGAGTCTCCAAACCAAACTGAGAATTCCATTGAATCCCACCTACACATGGAAATCCCAGAGATAGTTTGTTGGAATGGAACGCACACTCTCTCTCTCTCTCTCCCTAGAGGGACGCATCCTGTTTACGTAATTCCAGAAAGTATTAAGCGCAGGTTGACAAGAGCCAAGGCTTGTGGGGAGCCCAGAGTCTAATCATTACCCTCTGGGAAAGATAAATACTTGCGAGTGCCTGTCCTGAAATTGTCCTTTATACCCTTGAACCTGTGTTTGTTTGCTCTACTGCCTTAATGTGGCTGAAAGTATTCCTTTAGGTTTATTTTCTTGTTCCCATTTTGGCATCTTATCTAGCATTCCCCCTCTGAGTCATCTCCTTTGAACGGAAAACAGTGCTGGCTTTATTCAGCCGTTGCTCACAGCTTGTTTCGCCTACAATGGGAATCAGCATTGTTGCTTTCATCTGCACTGCCTCAATGGCAACCAACAACAGCTCCAGAGTCCCAGAGCGCTTGACAGTGGTGGAGCATGACTCCGAGCCGGGGGGGGGGTTGGGGGGAGTGACTGTAGGCACGGTCGAAGAGGAAGGTCTTTAAGTGCGACCTGAAAATGGGGAGAGAGAGAGGGGACAAGGTAGAGGGATTGAGGGAGACGGTTCCACAGCTTCGGGGCATTAGTGGCTGAAAGCGCAGCCGCCCATGTGGGGGGAACTAGTCGGCTGCTATCAAAGGGAGCAGCGGTAGAGAGAGAGATAGAGAGAGAGGACAAGAGTCAGGGCGGGCTGGAGAGCGAGCATAAAACAACAACAAAATTCCATTCGTATAGCACCTTTCCAAGCGAGAGAGAGAGGAATGAGAGACAATTCAATACAATGCAAAATTACATTTTTACAGCGCCTTTCATGTCGGGAGGACTTCCTGAGGCGTTGAACAGCCAGGGACTTGGACCCGAATGGGTTGGGGTAGGGCGTGGAGAGACGGGGAGGGAACGGACTGTGATCGAGATCAGAAGGGGTGGCCAAATGTGCGGTCGAAGAGGAGGGTCTTGAAATGTGCCTGGAAGGAGGCGAGGGAGGGGGCTAGGCCAAGGGACTGTGGGATGGAGTTCTAGAGGGTGGGGGCAGAGAGGCTGAAAGCCCGACGAGCGATGGTGGGACGGGGCCTGACGAGGGCCGTCCTTGGAGTCGGCCGGAGCCTGCTGAGCGGATCGCGCGGACAGACAGACAGATAGAGAAGCAGACAGATTGAGAGATAGATGAGAGAGAGAGAGAGAGATAGTAGTTGTTTGATTGGATTCACCGAAGACGATGAGTACAATGACCGATTGCGCAAAGGATTTCGAGTCGTCCTTGGCGGACACTTCACAGCGATATGTCGCAGCGTCAGCCCGGGTCACCTTCTGAAGTATGATGTTGGACTTGCTCATCTCCGCTCGCCCTTGGTACTCTTCTGTGAAACACAACCCAGGGTTTGATTAGAAAAGAAATCGGTTCCTCAGTGCCCCTCAGGCTTCAGTCATTATAACAACAACAATAATAATATTAATCCTTGCATTTGATACAGAGCCTCATCATGTCGTTGAGACGTCTCAGAGCGCTTCGCAGGATATACTGCAGAGTGAATCGACTGCGTATTTTGCGGGCGAAACGCGGCAGCCAGTTGCGCACGGCAGCGACCCCACAAACGGTCGTGGATCGAAGTGGCCAAATTTATTATTATTTGTGGAGATGGTGAGGAGATGGAAGGTTACAACAACAACAAGAACAACAAGAACAACAAGACTTGCGCCCTTCATGTGGGACAGCATCTCAGAGCGCTGAGGTTAGGGTTTAGATGCTGATTTTTTTTTCTCCCCGTGACACTGTAATCATCGATGTGTAAGCCTCAAAAACCTACTCATGAGACCTCCCGCGTAATACACAAAGGAGATCTGCGACTTTTTGATTTTCTTCCACTCCAGGCGTGCGATCTGCGGCCGCTCCAGATCATACTTGCAGGGGAGGAGAACCCCTGGAGAAACACAATAAGCCTTACCACGGCATACGGGATACATTGACTCCAGCGCACGCGATCATTACTCCCAGCACACGCGATCATTTCACCCAGCACATGCGATCATTACCCCCAACACATGCGATCATTACACCCAGCAGACGCGATCATTACCCCCCAGCACACGCGATCATTACCCCTAACACACACGATCATTACCCCAGCACATGCGATCATTACCCCCATCACACGCGATCATTACCCCCAACACACGCGATCATTATCCCCAGCACACGCAATCATTACCTCCAGCTCACGGGATCATTACACCCAGGACACGAGATACAATACCCCCAGCACACGCGATCATTAACCCCCAGCACACGCAATAATTACCCCCAGCACACGCGATCATTACCCCCCAGCACACGCGATCATTACCCCCCAGCACACGCGATCATTGACCCCCAGCACACGCGATCATTGCCCCCAGCACAGGTGATAAGCGATAAGCAAACAGTCACCCGTGATCATCGGTGCAATGAGTGGGAAATCACTTACTTTCAAACTCTCTGACTTCAATGTTTTGATTGGAGGATGTCATGACAACTCCATCACCTCCCGGAACTAGAAAGGAATTGATGCGTGTCAGCCAAGCACCAGAAATAACACAAATTATTTCTTCCTCTGATCTTCTGAGACACAAGGCTACTACTGCAACTTGCCGGGCGGCGTCCCAGAGAGCTTATACAATGGTGGAGCCCCGAGGCCGAGCCAGTGGGACCGTAGGTGACCGTAGGTGCCGTCGAAGAGAGAGGTCTTCAGGCACCACCTGAACACGGGTAAAGAGGAAGCAAGGCAAAGTTGATCGAGGGAGGGAGTTCCTTAGCTTCGGGGCGCAGTGGCTGAAGGCGCGGCCGCTGGTGGTGGAGCGGAGGATTCGAGGTACAAAGGAGGAGGCCGGAGCCAGTAGAGCGGAGGCAGCGGGTAGTACTGTGAGGAGAGGTTGGAGAGATGGGGGGGTGCCAAGGCGTGGAGGGTTAGGGTTACCGCACAACATCTCAGACCTGTGTAAGCTCCCCCACAACCCACAATCTGTCACCTCCGCTCGACTGCTTCTGGCCTCCTGCATGTCTCTCGGGCCCTTTGCTCCACCCTCGCCGGCCGCAATTTCAGCTGCTATGCCCCCAAACTCTGGAACACTCTCTCTCTCTATCCCTCTGCCTCGCTCCCTTCCTTCCCCATCTTCAGGTCGCACCTGAAGACCTTCCTCTTCGACCGAGGCTCCCCCCGGGCTCAGTGTCGTGCTCCGCCACCGTCAAGCGCTCTGGGACGCTGCCCTGCCCGAGGGGCGCTGTGTGGAATGCAGGTTGTTGTAGTGGCTTCTGATCTTCACTCCCACTTCTTCAATACACGCTTAAACCAGCAAAACAATAGCTTTTCATTCAGATGGACGTACAGTGCAGATTAGAGAGGTAAGAGTCAGAGGATTACAGAAAATGAGAGCGAGAGAGAGTCAGAGAGGGAGTGAGAAAGAGTCAAAGAGAAAGTTAGAGAGAGGAGGGAATGAGAGTTGGAGAGAGTCAAAGAGAGAGTCACTCACTCACTCACTCACACACACACACACTCATTCACTCACACACACTCATTCACTCACACACTCACTCATGCATGCAAACACACTCAAACACACACAGACACACACTCACAGACAGATGCAGATGGGGGAGTTGGGTTGGAAGAGATAATAATAATAATAATAATAATAATAATCCTTGCATTTGATATAGCGCTTTTCACGTCGGAAGGACGTCCCAAAGCGCTTCACAGAACACACTGTAAAAGGCAGAGGGCTGGCCCTGTGTGTACGACAGTGACAGAATCAATCGTGATGAAAGGTTGTGGTTATTATTGCCTCTTGCCTCTTTGCTCATTACCCACATGCTTTCCATATCCACAATGGGTCCAGTCCCAATTGGAGCAGAACTTGGCTCAGCGGTAGCGCTCTCGCCTCTGAGTCAGAGGTTATGGGACTAGAACTCAAGTGGTCTAAGATGACGCTCCAATGCAGTGCTAGGGGGAGTGCTGCATTGTCAGAGGTTTTGGGACTCGAGCTGGGGAGTTGGGGCCAGGAGGGGTGGAGGGCAGGGGGCTTGGGGCTGCGAGGGTGGCCGAAGGCGCGGGGTCAAAGAGGAAGGTCTTCAGACAAGACTCGACGGAGGCAAGAGAGGGGGATAGGATGGAGGGGTTGCACGACTGAGTTCCAGAGTGTAGGGGCAGAGATGCTGAATGACCGACCGCTAATAGTGGGTCGGGAAGTGCGGGGGACCTGAAGCAGGCTGCCAAGTGGAGGGAGAGGACAGGCTGATATCTCACGTGTTGGAAGGGAACATAATAGGACCACCAGCCCACCATATAAAGCATAGCCTGATTAAATTCATACTCTATTGGCCGCTGTTCAAGTAAACATTCCTTGCAGCAGATGACTGGTCGTGCTTTGAACTCCAAGGCTTCTTCCCTGTCTCCCGATCCATTTGTATTCTCCCCAGAGTTGTTCCTCCCAGGTTCTGAAGGGCGGCAACATTGTACAGCGAGAGAGAGAGAGAGAGAGCGTGATGCCTGGGATGGGACTGTGTCCCACTCAATCCTTCTTCAACCAGGCATCTGTCAGCTTGGCTCAGTTGCCAGAAGGTTGTGAGTTCAAGCCCCACGTGAGGGCTTTGAGCTCACAGTCCAGGCTGACAATGCTGCATTGCATTTAGATAAGATTTCCTGGTGGGGTGGTGGTGGGGGTGGGGGTTAAGCAAGGTCTACTTAGAGCTGAACCAGCTCCAAGGTGACATGCTTTGCTATGGAATGTCAGAGTCGAGTCGAGCCAGCTCTCCGTGACGGCCCGCAGTCCGCTTCCTGAACTAGGTGGGTCCTCAAAGGAAACTGACAGATAAACAAACACAGTGTAGTCCTGTAGCTCAGTGGTTAGAGCACTCGCCTCACCAAGCAAGAGGACCTGGGTTCGGTTCTTGGCCAGGGTAAAATGTTGGGCGAGGATAAGGATTATTACATAAGGATTATTGTTATTATTATAATAAAGTACAACCAAGAAATAATTTAGGAGGTGGAAGGAGCTGAAGGGGAGTCTACCCAGATCTCATCTCAGTGGGTCGTGTTGTGCTCCAGGGCAGTTACTCTGTAACTTCCGGTACTTTGCTTGCAATATCTTGGGCGTTTTCCATTCTCAACCGTGCTTCACGGACGAAAACATATCCAGGGGACAGACAAACAGGGAAGCGATTAAATAGTTGCGACCCTTTGATGTGGCCAGTGTTTACAGTAGAGTCTGGGTGGGATTGTGGTGAGACAGATGTACTCGCAATTTAATTTAGTGGAGTCCTGCAGCTCAGTGGTTAGAGCACTCGCCTCGCAAGCGAGAGGACCTGCGTTCGATTCCCGGGCGGGCAGAGCAAAAGATTGTGCAAGTTTTCTTACTCCACACACTTGTTTATCTAGCAGTAAATAGGAAATCAGTCATTAGTCGGTTGCCGGGGGTAATAATGCCTTCAAAAAAAAATATATAGTCTGTAAAGTGCTTTGAGACGTCTCGAAGACATGATAAGGCACTATACCAAATCCAAGGATTACTATCATTTAATTTTCCTCCCTTTGCTTATGACTCTCTTGCCCTTCCTCCACCTCCGTCACACTCCTCACACCCAACGCAGCTGAAACCTCCGTCCACCTCCTGCCTCGACTATTCCAAAGCCCTCCTCGCCGGTCTCCCCAGCCCCACTCTCCACAAGCCACAAATGATTCAGAATTCTGCTGCCCATTTATTACTCTAAACTACTCTAAACTCTGTACCATGATCACACCAGTCCTCGCCAGGCTCCAGTGGCTGCCTATCACAGAATGGATTGATTTCAAAATCCTCTCGCTCGTCTATAAATCTCTTCACGACCCCGGCACCTTCCCACCTTAAGTGCTCCAGGTCGCTACCCCGCGTGAAAGGAAGGCGCTATATAAATGCAAGCTGTTGTTGCTGTACTTTTCGGACCTGCTTTCTCCCCACTCCACTACCCACGTGCCTCTGTTCGGCTGACCCTGGCCTCCTGTTTGTCCCTCGTCCGCTCCACTCCACTTACTGCGAGGTAAACAGAGGCACGTGTGTGGAGTAAGGAAACTTGCCTCTTGTTTTGCCCTGCCCCGGAATCAAACCAGGTTTCTCTCGCCATCTGAAGAGTCAGAGATGGATAATAATAATAATCATTGCATTTGATACAGCGCCTTATCACGTTTTCGAGATGTCTCAAAGCGCTTCACAGCTTTGAGAGTTTGGATTCACGAATAAAGAAGCTACTAATGACACACTCTTGATTTGGATTGAGTTATGCGACATGGATGTTACTTTTTAGTGTATATATATGCAAGTTGTTGTCGTTCCCAAAATAATCCTTGCTTTTTTTTGATATAGTGCCTCATCACATCTTCGAGGCGTCTCAAAGAGCTTCACGGAATGTACTGTCAAGTGAATTGACTACATTTTGCGGATGAAACGCAGCAGCTAATTGCGCACAGCGGTGTCCCCACAAACAGGCGTGGATTGAGTGACCAAATTATTATTATTGTTTTGAAGGAGTTATTACTCCCAGAATAACTACGCTCTGCCGGATGAGGATATTTTCTGCACCGGTTATCTTGTCAAATCGTTTCTGAATTGTTTTATTAACAGTGCCAGTTGACCGATGCTTATAGTTGTGCTTGTTGTGTCCTACCACATGTATCTGCATTTGATTTGTACGTCAACATAATCCCCAATCTTTTCGAGTTCCTTATTTAATATATAATAATAATCCTTGCATTTGATATAGCGCTTTTCACGTCGGGAGGACCTCCCAAAGCGCTTATTGTCATCACGTGCAACAGCCACAGCAATATTACTGCATGTACAATCCAAATGGTTTGTTTATAACGATAGCTGGTTTGTTACAGATTACTGTCCTAGTTGGCAAGCGAGAGGACCTGGGTTTGATTCCCGGGCAGGGCGAAACATTGGGCAAGTTTCCTTACTCCACACGTCTCTGGATACCTCGCAGTAAGTTGGTTGTTAGTTAATCGGTTAGTTGATCCCCCCCTTTTCTGGGGGTAATAATATTTCCAACAAGTTTTTTTTAATAATAATTTTGTCACTCAACATTACTACAATGCTGAAAAGTCTCTAAACACTTCACAGGAAATTGCTGCTAAGTGTAGTTGTGTATATGTCGGGAAATGAGGCAACAGACGAAGTGAGATCCAAAATACACACAAGCGACAATGCAGCCGGAAAATACAACAACAATGAAAAACATTGTGTTCACACCCAGTCTTGGAGGACATTCTCTGCCAGTCTTGGAGGACGCCCAGTGATGGTTCACTAGATAACCCAAGATGGGCTGAAGGTTTTGAGGCGAAAAGGAGAAATTGGGTAGATTTGGGTTAAATTCCCTTTAAGATTAGGAGGTTACGGGGGCTGATCTGATTGAGGTATTTAATAATATTATAATAATCCTTGCACTTGATACAGTGCCTTATCACGTAGTTGAAGCATCTCAAAGCGCTTTACAGAATACACTGTAAAGTGTAGTGACTGC